CAAATCTCTTCCTGGTGAGATCTGCTCATCCTAAATGCCAGTTTTGAATCCCTTCCTGATAAGATCTCATGTTTTGACTTTTTTCCCAAAGAGCAGCAAAGAGTGAGACAAATACTCACATTGTGTGGTTAGAACAGTGACTGTTTATTTTTGGAGTAGGAGAGACTTCATGTTGTCTAAATTTTTCTTGGATACCCTTGGGTTGTCTAAAGGGCTTGGCAAGATTAAGTTCCCAAAGTGTTGCTCTTCATCCCCTGCTCACTGGCTTGGCTGGTAGCCCCCAGTAGAAACTGGTATTCCACAGGCACCAGTCACATCCCTGGCATCAGGAAGGGACCATAAATTCAGGGACTGTGAACTTTTGACTTGTAGATCAGGGTTATAATTACAGGAAAGACCATATCAGACCTGTTACTGATGTTCCATTTTCCTGCCTGGCTTTCCAATATAACAGGCAGCTGAGAAGCTGGGAGAGACAGAGAAGTTATGCCTGCTGGTGGAAGAACTTGATGGTCTGGAGAAAATTGAGGAATTGCAAAACCATGAGAATGACATGGTCTACAAAGCTGCCCTGGGCATCATCGAGAAATACTTTTCTGGTGAGGTATGTGAGCCCTTACTGTTTCTCACTTGAAAATGTGAAGCAATTGCACACTGGAATGAAGCACAGAGTTTAAGGATACTGGAAGAGGTTTTTGGAGAAGACTTCCACATGACCAGAGTAGTCCTTGCAGCTTCTTTCAGCTGCTTTTAAAGGTCTCTAAAAGCTCCAAGCTGCCAGCCAATGAGTTGCACAACAGACATAGATGCCTTGATAGTATCTTGCTGCTGGAATTTAAACTGGCATCAGCTGGAGTTACTGCAGTTACTGATATGAATACCAAATGTGGAGAAGTTTCCTCCTTCAGAGCTGAGCTGGCTTGTCACTATGAATGGCAGCCTCCTACTCAGCTGATAACAGTGCTCAGGTTACATTTGGATTACTTGACCCTTCTCTTGGTAAGGAATCTATGGAAAAAGAGGATAGGACACCAGCCAGGAGCTGAAAGAGTCCAATGACTGTCACAGGTGCCATATTTTGTCCTATCCTTACACTTGCAGATGGGAAAACGTCAGGGAAGAGGCTTAGAGGACTGGCAGGCCTTGGAGCTGTGGCTCAGTTTGGGTGTGAGCTGCAGCAGGGGGCAAAGGTCTGGTTTAGTCCTTTGTCAGAGCAGGGTCTGTGGGGTGTCCCTGTGAGAGGGTGTGGAGGAAGTTCTTGACACCAGCCCCTGCTGGAGGGGCTGGATGCCAGGGGAACATCTCCCTCAGCAGTCCTGGCTCACTGCTGTTCCAAGCAGGCCATTTAATTTCAATGAGTTCTACCACTGCAGCCACTTTTTTTTTTCCTTTTGCTTCTGGTGTCTGAGCCCAAAGGCTTGGCTGCTTTTGTGTGTGGGCTGCAGGGACACTGCAGCTTCAGGGTGCTGCAAGGAGCAGCAAGGCTTGTCCTGGTCTCCAGGAGTTCTGTTACAGCCAAGCTGGGCTTAACAGCTGGATTTTTAGAAACGAGAAAAAAACAGAGGAGCTGTAAAAAGCTTAGAGGTTTATTCAAACGCAGACTTTCTAAGTGATTGTTATAATTTTTCTCCTAGGAGAATACAGACCTGGAGCCCCAGACTGGCCAAGATGGGCTCTATGATTTCTCAGTGAAGAAGCAAGACTTCAATTTCTGAAGAAGCACAACACAGCACTAAGCTGGTGGGTGGAGGTACCTTGGAAGAGCTCAGACATCCAAACCATGAGGAACAGAGATGCTGAGCCTTTTTACTTCTGAAATTTATCAATAAATTGCACTTTTGGCTTTGTACCTCTTGCCTTTAATTATTTCCCCCCTCCTTTAAGCTGCTGTTGCAAAAGACATGGCTTGTTTTATTCCAATAGCATCTCAAGGCCTTATAGGAGTGTGTTGGATCCCCTGGGCACCTTTTCCAGGTGGAATCTTTCTTCTAAGCACATTAAACTGCAGGAGAGCAGAATCCTGCCACCAAATCCTTGTGCTGAAGCCTTTTAGGTTTGACTTGGAGTGGCTGAAGTAGCTCTAAAATATTGTTTGAGAAGTTTCACCCTTCTGCAGGCACCATCATTGCTGTGGGAAAGGAGCTGAGCCAGGGCTGGGAGGGTCTGTGTCCTTGCTGTGTTATTTCACCTGGAAGCTTTGGAGTGTGGCTGTGGGAGCTGTTGAGTAAGTGCTGGTCCTTTGGAAGCAGTGCAGGAGCAATGATTCACCTCTGCTGCAGCTTCCCTCTTGCCATCCATCAGCCCGGAGCCCATCGATCTGGCTCTGCCCTCTAATTCCGAGGACCTGTATTTCAGGTTTCCATGGTGTGTCCCTGGCTCTTGTTCTCCTCTCCAAGCCCTCCAAGGGTGGTCCCAGCAGAAAGTGATGATGGGGCTGAGCCCATAGCACAAAGATTTTGTGCTGTGGATTCTCAATAAGCTGCTTGGCCATTGCTCCATCCTTGCAGTGTTGATGGTTCCCAGCAGCTCCCTCCCCAGTCTCAAAGCCTTTACTTAAGGCAGGATGAGGGAGCAGCTTTCCCTCTCTGTTTTGGGGGGTTTGGCTCTTCAAAGTGATCCTGGGTGGGCTCAGGGCTCTGTTTCCTCAGGTGCAGTAGGAGGTGATGTGACAGGCAGCTTAATCTGGAGGGAAAATCTTTTCAGGAAACAGAGACTCTTCCTCTGCCCTGGATCTGTTCATCAGAGGATTTATGCATTTTTCCTGCAGGCCACACAGGGAAAAGGGAGTTGGTAGTAAATGTCTTCTCTGGGAGGAGCTGTGCAGCCTCAGTTATGGGTAGCAGGGTTGAGTATCACTTCTTAAATATTCAAATACTGAAGTATGATGAAATGCAAAGCGTTTCTTCCATCCAGAACTATGGACTTAAAAACATGACCCAGCACTGTCTGAACATAGACTTTAACCTGGGCTGGTGCTGCCTGGGCTCTGTGGGCTTCCCACTGCTGCCAGGGCTGGTGGGGCACCTGGGAATGGCCACAGTTCCCTGGGTGAAGCAAATGTGAGGAGTGTGAGGGACAGAGCTGGGGCCTGTGTGCTGCCCTGATTCTGGACTGTGCTCCTGTGTGGACTATCCCAGTTGGCTTTTCCCATGGCCTGGCAGGGCTGCCCTGTACAGCTGCTCTTTGCTGATGCTCTGATTTTAAAAAAGCAGGATCAAAAGAGAAATGGGAAATCTCTTGGATTCTTTTTCCTATCTCTGTTTGGTGCTGTTACAATGTCTTCTTTCCATCCATGTAACTTACAATAAAATATTGCTGTGAAAGCAGGGGCCAGGGCAAAGTGCCCCTCTCAAAAAGAGTGTTGGGATGTGGCTGCTGTCTGCCCTGGCAGCTGGAGAGCTGGGCCCAGTGCCTGGAGGATCCCCAAGGCTGCTGTGTGGGTGTGTGAGCAACCTGCAGGCAGCTGCTTGCCCTCCCCTGCTCCCTGCCAGCCCCAGGCACAGGAGCAGCACTTGGAGCTCTGGGGCAGGGGAGGCATCCCCTTCTCCCTGTGGGATGGGGCATCCAAGGGCACCAGTGATGGGGAAATGCTGCTGTGCTTCCTCAGGGCAGCTCGACCTCCCTCTAGACATGCTCAAAAAATTAGTTTTTTTTTTCTAATTAAAACCTCCCCTGTCCTGGCCCCAGAGGAAGAGGTAGGGGATCATTCAGGCTGGAAAAGACCTCCAGGATCATCCACTGACTTCCATCAGCCCACTACCCTTTCAGTGCCATCTCTACTCCTCTGAGCATTTTCAGGAGTGGGGACTCCACTGCTGCCCTGGGCAGCCTGTCAGTGCTTGACCAGTGAAGGAATCTTTCCTAATTTCTAACCCTGGCACAACCCAGGGCTGTTTCCCTTGTGTTGTCACTTGGGAAAAGAGTCCATTCCCCACCTGGCACCCTCCCATCAGGGAATTGTAGACAGGGAGAAGGTGCTGCTCCGTTTCTGGGGATGGAAAAGACACTGCCTATAGTGGTGCTTGTCCCAAATTAAGACCCCTTTACATTCCAGTGCTACCTTCAGGCACACCTGTGCCCCCTCCATACATCTGTGCCACTGTGAGAGCCCCTGTTCACCCCCATGCCACCCCCAGGCATCCTTGTCACCCTCAGGCTACCTTTCATCTCACCCCTGTTCCACCCTGAGATCACCTATTCATCCTCACGTGTCCCTGTTTGCCCCCTTTCATCCCAAGACAGCTCTAGGCTCTCCTATTCCCCCATTCCACCTCTATTCTCCCCTATGCCATTCTCCAGGCATCTCCATTCCCCTTTATTTCCCACATCCCACTCCTGTTCTGCTCTATTCCCCACTATTCACTCATATTCTCCTCTTGCCTCTATCCCATTCTTTTTCCACTCTTCCCCCATCCTACTCCTCTTCCCTAAATCCTTCTATTCCCTAATTCCTCCTATGCCCCCATCCCACTCTTCTTTCTCCCACTCCCCCATTTCCCCATCCCAATCCTAGTCCCCCCCATTTCCCCATCCCACTCCTATTCTCTAATTCCCCCTATTCCCCAATCCTACTCCCATTTTCCCATCCCAATCCTATTCCTATTCCCTAATTCCCCCCACCCTCTCCCCTCGCCAGGGGGCGCTCCCCCGACTCCTTCTGCGCACGCGCCACTCCCCGACCTTCCCTGTTCCGACCTTCTCCTCATGGCGTCCGGACGCGGCCACGCCGCTCTGCGCGCTGACGTCACGGCCCTCCGTTGTGCGCGGGGGCGTGGCGGGGGTGTGGCCACGGTTCTCCGCGGCCGGGCCGGGCCGGGCGGGCGCGTCGGCGGCAGCGGCTGAGGCGGCGGCTGAGGGAGCGGAGCCTGCGGCGGCCGCCGGAACGCTGGCCCGGGAATCCCCGGCATCGTGAGAAGCAGGCGGGCTCGCATGGCGGGGCTGCGCGGGGCCGCCGGTTGAGCTCGGCGCCGCCGCCTCCTCCTCCTTCTCCTCCTCCTCCTCCAGGCGCGATGTCGAATCCCGGTACCCGCCGGAACGGATCCAGCATCAAGATCCGCCTCACAGGTAACGGGGCGGCCGCGGCACGGTGTGTGTGTGGCCGCACATCCACGGCTGGGCCCGGGGTCCCCTCCCCTCCCCTGGCGCCTTCGCCCCCTCCCCGGCCTGGCTGTGAGGGGAGGGGCGGCCGGGCCCGAGCTCCCAGCGTTGCTTAACTTTTATCCACGGTTTTTCTGTTCCGCTTCTACCTCTGTGACCCGACGGAGCCTCTCTGTGCTTTTGTTTATTTATATTTTTTCCCGCCCCTCCGGCGTGGGGTGCTTGAGCCCCCTTGGGGTGACGTGAATTTGATGAAGGCGGGGGTTTGTCACTGTCTGCCCCTCGTTTTCCAGCAGATCAGGGCAAGCTGCTTCTTTCTGGGGTCTTTCCTGCACCTTCCCCCGTGGAAGGTGACAGTCACCACCCCCTCCAGCACCCTGACCCTAAATGAGGTTCCTTCTGCACTCTTCCCGATGGGGGGATCCCTGTTGATAAATCTCCCCTGCATTTTTCCCCTTTGTGGGGTCTCTTCTGCACCCTCCCAGTGGGGGGAGTTCCCTGTGACACCCCTGCCCCCCTTCCTGGGGTCCCTGTCTGTGGGCATCCCTGTGACACCTTTCCCTCTTCCCAGCCCTTTCCCAGGGTTTCCCCTGTTTCCTTCCCCATGGGGGTATCCCTGTGCCCCCCTTCTACCCCTCCAGACCCCTTCATGGGGTCTCCTCTCCACCTTTCCCAGGAGGATTCCCAGGGCCACCTCTCCCACAGACTGGCTTTCAGCAAAGCCTTTCATAATTTGCCTTGCTTGAGTTTAATTAACAACCCCCCCAACCTCCTGGGTGCCAAGGAGGATAACTCAGTTGCTAATGAGAAAATACCCATTTAGTTGCTTTTAGCTGGGTTCTTTTTTTTTTTTTTTCAGTGTGTTTTTTTTTTTTTAATTTTCCCTCCTTCCTCTCGACTTGTTTCTCACCTGGCACATTGTGACATTCAACTTTGGAAGTTCCTGCCCCGTGCAGGAGGTGACACGTAGAGCTGTGTCTGTCCTGCCTCCGCGTGAGGCCTCTGGAGGGTTTGTGGATGGACAAACCAATTTGTGTTGGACCCTGAAAGATCTGGATTAAGTCTTTTGGAAGCTGCTCTGGTCGATACCGAGCCTGCTTCTTTAATGGGAAGAGACACGGTTCCTGCTTGTTGAGACTGCTGTGTGAATTATTAAAAAATAAGGTCCAGTCTAGTCTTTCAAAGGCAACAAGTGGATGCTTGGAGGTCACTTGGGCTGGAGAAGCCCCAGTGCTGCTCTGGGTGACCGGAATTGATCCCTGGAGAGGGATCTGCTGTGTGTGGGTGCATAAAACAATAGCAAATAATGAGAAAACGGTGCTGGTGAAACTGCAGTTACAGGTTAACTTGCTCCTGGCACGTAACACACTCAGAGGCAGATCATCAAAAAATAAAAATCCTGGTGTTCTTTTAATCCTTTGATTCTGCACTGCTTGTGCTTCAGAAGACCAAAGTTTGTGAGGATAATGTAAATCTGAAAATCCTTTTCTTGGATGGGAGAAGGCTGGAAATATTTTTAGGTTGTATGAATGATGTTTGATCTGAAATGAGTTTTGTGGTGATGTATACCAAATGTCAGCTCAGTCCTTAATGTGGCTTATTTTTATGCAAGTCAGTCAATAAAAATGTGAATTAAATGACTTAGGCCATGGTCATAGCCCTTCTGAGCTGGAGGAGATCATTTAAATAACAGAGAGAAGCTGTTGAGTTTAATTTTAAAGGCTGAATACTGCAGCAAAATGCTTTTTTACTTTTACCATACACTAGTCTTTGCTCTGAGCTGGGAACGTTTCCTGGAACAGGCTGAAGTTTCAGTTTATTGAGCAACTTGGTAGATTTATTTTTTATTACTCCCCATTTTTAAACTGTATTGAAGAAATCTCCTGCTTGCTCAAACACATCTTCTGTTTTTACAAGCAGGAAACCTGGGTGATGTGACAAAAATTACTGTATTTAATCAACAAATAAATTGCTCTGGGAGAGGTTTAGCTCTGGAATTGTTGGGCAATGCCGAGTTCTTGGCTTGGCTGGGGCTGGGGTGCTGACTTACCTGTTTCAAATAGCTGCAGCCAGCCTGGCTGTTGTTTTCTCATCTCCTTGGCTATTGGGAGATTTGAGCACATTTAAATCAAGACAGAAGACCTCGTTTGTTATGATTTACTACCTTCATTGTGTTTCCTGTGATTAGGCACCATTGAAGTTTTGCAGTACTGAAAATAGCAGTGTAAATACCACTTGGGACTCGTGTGAGCATCACGGGGTGAATGGCAAGGGAGCAGTGGTTGAATCTCCTGTGATTTTTTTGAAGACATAATTTTAAAGACATAATTTTTTCCTCATCTGTTGTAAAGGTATTTGTATTAGCAGAGTGTTGGGGTTATTTATGTGAATATATCCAGAAGTTCTCAATCCTCTGATGATTACCAGAAGTGGTCTCTCAGTCAGTCCTAGCCTAATGCAAATTGTGATGAAGTAAAATAGCAAATAATGCACCCTGTGCAGAAATACTAAAAACCTCGATGTAACAATGAGTTGCACGACAGGTTAAAATGACTTTGTGGCCTGTGGATCTCAAATATGCTAATCTCCTGTCATATCTCAGTTTCTCCTCTTCTTTCCACTAAAGCCTTTACCCCAGCTGGTGATGCAAGAGCCAGAGATACTCTGGCCTCGTCTCTTGCTCCTTGGAACAGTTCTAGGCAAAGTGAGAGAAAACTTCCCATTAAATCTGTGGTCTCTTCCTATCTGTGCTGTCATCAGGGCAGCGCAGCAGTGGCGAAATGACCAACACAAGGATGGAAAAATGAAGTGACCCTGTGAGTGCATGTCCTTGCCAGATGTGCTCAGGGTCTGCTGGGTCAAGGAGGAACACGATCCACAGGCCAGGAGACCGTCACAGAGCACGTGTCCCGTTTTTCACCCTTGTGCTTCTCTGAAACCTTTGTTTTCTGCTGCTCCCTGGGGAAGTTCCAAAGGGTTCATCGTCCCCAAGGCTTACACATGCCTTGCTCACACTCATATCACCCACAAGCACTGGTGAAAATTGTGCTTTTTCAGCGGGTCTCAGCTGAGGTGTTAAGAGCTAGCTGGCTTCTGGGGCCATCGTGGAACCTGAGGGAAGTTTTATTTTATGGATCACTTCCTAGCTGGAGCAGGAAGGGGGAGGATCTCACATACATGGTCAGGTGGCCGTGTTGAGGGCTGAGGGCACAGCAGTTTCTTTAACAGAGAAGCCAGAGTTGGTGTAACAGGAGGATCCAAATAATCGTCTCCAAGCACCTCACTTCACAGTGGTTCAGAGTTCTCAATTCCTCCTTGGAAACTTGGCCTAGGAAGGTGCTGGGCTGCTCATGGTGGCAGTTTTGGAAGACGGGTGTAGGTGAGAATCCTCCCAGATGTGAGGGGTAAGAAATTGAGGTGTCAGAAACATCAGGAAGGAGTGAGGAAGATGATGATGAAGCAGGTGGTTGCTGTGAGGTGAGAAAGGAGCCAGAGGGGATTTGTAGGTGACAAATTTGATTCGCGTAAGGAAGGTGGTTGTGCTCAGCAGTGGCAAAGAAAGGGGAAGAGAGAAGAAGTGACACAGAGTGTCATGCACACACTTCCAGATCAGTGTAGTCAGCCAGTTCAGGGAAGCCACAGCCACAAAGCCTGGCCAGTTAGTAGCTGGTAAATGAGTGGCTTTGGGACTTTATGCATTTGTAATTTAAGGGATCCATAAAAGAACACAGTGACTGCAAGTAGAAGATAAAACATTATGTTGTCATTAGAGCAATGTTCACTTAGGATTGTCACAAAGGCACAGACTAAAGTGTGTCCCAAATGTCAGGATGTTTTACTTCCCTTTCATGACTATTGTATTGATCAGTGCAGCAGAGTTAACTGACTGATCAATAGCAACACTAATATTGGTGACCTGGCCACTTTCCTGTCCCATGTTCAGGAACAATGAATATCTGTGTAAGGATCTCTCAGTCAGACATGGTAAATACATCATGGGCTGGCTGTAGTTTTATGGTTGGGCATCAGGACCAGTGGGTTCCAGATGAAGAGCACTGGGGCAGGAAGAGCTGGCTGCTCATCCCAGCCTCCCTGGCAGTTGGTATTTAATATCGAGCCAGCTTTGTGCCATGGGGGACACGGTGGGAAGCAGCACTCGGGTAGCTCCAAATGTATTTATTGTGGTAATCTGGGAGTGTGTCGAAATCCGTGTCTCGTTATTTTCTTCTCGTAAGGATTTTCTCTTCCCCACGTCTGCTGGGAGCGGGGCCCCGGCTGTGATTGGAGTGTGGAGCTTGGCCACAGATTTCCTGTGTGATGCTGAGCAAGGCACTTAATCTCCTTCTGCCTCCCTTCCCCATTTGCCTTGGGAAGCAGCAGCGTTTTTGTGAAGGTAAATTCGTGGCTGTTCAGAACCCTATGGATAGGAATGGCAAAGAGGCTTGGGGCATGTAACTCTGGAGAAATTAAAGAAAATAAAATCTTGCTTTCACGGGAGGAAGTGCAGAGCGCAGCCTTTGCAGTTGGCCAGCTGACATTTTGGGGCTGCCAGAGTGGGAATCCAAAGAGCAGCCTTTTCCTCTGGGCAGGCTATGGGGACCAAGTCTCCTTTTTTGCTTCTCCCAGTAAGTCAAAGCTGTGCCAGCACCATTGTCCTGGTGGAAGTAAATTAAATCACCAAAAAGAGTTTGTTTGAATATCCCCCTCAGGCGGGGAAAGTAGAAACAATAACTACTTTATTCCTGACTTGAAACTTTCTTTTGTCAAATTGAATGTCTTCATATAAAGAAATGCAATTTGGGATGTGGTTGTGCAGTTCGTGATTTCTTTTTATTCCATACTGCCCACCAGTCTAAGAACAGTTTTCTCATCCGTTTCTTGAAACAGCTTTATCACATTTCTAAGATTTTGTAGCATCATCTTTTCTGTTTGTATTTCAAAATTAATCATCAACTCCAGGGAAATAC